CACTGTAGCCCTCACCCTTCTTTCTCATCCTCCTCTACTTCCCCCTCGAAGTCCTCCTTTCTCGATCTCGTTTCTACCCTGCTCACTAGAAAACACGGCAGCTACCGGAGTTGCAGCCTCCCCCAACACCACCTTACACCATCACCATCCTACCACCATTCCACCTTTATCCTTTCCTGTTTCGGTAACCAAGCCTCAACTCAAACACCTGCATATTCCATTTCAAACCAGTCAAGAACACAGGAGAAAAACAACACAACAACAACCATAGTTGCTGTTGCCTCCAACGACACCACCACAAAAAAAAGAGTAGATTGGAAGCAGATTCAAGTCCCATCAAGAAACAACTTCAATTCTCCAAGATTGAGAATCACACCGGAGCTTGTGCAGGTGTGGACGTTGTCTCTTACCTGCTTTAACTTCAAATTCATCGTATCTTCACTCAAATTCCCAACAAGAAACTCACATATCTCCTTCTCTATGTTGATTACGTTTAATCCTTGTAATTCGGTAAGCAAGAAATATGTTTTACCCATCTTTAAATAATCTGTGAATCTAGCTAGGACATGGTCAACAGAAACCTCGATTAGGAGTGAATTTCTTGAGGTTTTCTTGGCTAAGACTTGCCCAATTCTTTTGAAATCTTGTTCTCCGTGATCATCAAAAAATGAGAAATTAAACCAGACCCGAATGATATTCGAATCGGGTAGGTTACAGAGGAATAGAGGCGGAAACCTCATCATGGATTTCTGAAACCCAAACACTGTTGTTGGATGTAAGATTGCGATTTCAAACAACAATGGTTACAGAGAAATCCCAAAAACATTGTGATTCAAGCTCCTTTTGATAACTCCTTGTTGTTTAGATTTTAGCTATGTTTTATTGTAAACCCACTTATACCCTAAGATATAGAGTGTTTTTATGAGTTAGAATTCTGCATTTGTTTAGAAAACTCTAATAATCCCTAGATAACTAGATGAGAAAAATCTAGGTCACTACAATAGCATTTCCTTTAAAAGTCATACAGACCGCCTAAAAATCAATGACATCTAATGTCACACATAATTATTAGGGTTAGGTTACAATAACAATGTACTTGCGGAATTTCACATAACACTTATGGGTACATGCAACCTAAAAAATCTATGGCTTTACACTATTAATAGCAACATACTTTATGACACAAAACTTTTATCCTACTATAATTGAAATTACTAGCAAGAAAACATATCTTTAACACAATCAATATGTTAAACTCATTTGATCTTCAATAGTCTATGGAAAGCAAGCGTCAATAATGTGAACGCCTCTAATGGCTCATACCCAAAGCCCTAAAACACTAGAACTTGAAGAGGAGATAGGAGAGAGATGAGAAAATCAGATATATCATCATAGAAGGTATTAACCATGAAATTTGATGACCTAAGGGTCCTATATAGTTCAGGTAATTTGTAGATAAATCTAGATTTGAATAATTAAATATTAGATTTAATTCTAGTTCAAACCATTTCCTTGTAGCAACCAGGAGGATTTTAGAAACCCTAGAAGCTCCCTTAAAACTGTCCCACCTATAGGAGGTTCTAGAATTGTTCTTTTTGTTCAACTATTGAATAATAACAATTCACCCCTTGCATCTTTAATTAATTCTAATTAATCCCGAATTATTTTCAAATTAATAATTCATTAATTCCATCTATTTCTATTTCATTCAAAATTAATTATTAATTATTCTAATTAATATATTAATCATATAATATATTAATAAATCATTTTATCTCACTCCTAGTATCAATTCTAGATATTTCTGGTTATGACGGAAACCCAAAAAGGATCGTACTTTTATTCCATAAAGTTATATCAATTTTGTCATGACCTTGACCAATTAGTTATGATATTGGACATTTATTGTGATAATAGTATAGTGAGAAAACTCACCTGATGCTAGCAACTGTAGTCTCACAAGCCTCTGATGGATAAGCAACTAGCATGAACCACCTAAAACCAAGTAGAGGTCCAACTTTAGTCTAATCACCACTAAAAATTAAACTGTTCAAAAAGTCAATGATCAACTAGTCAAAGTTGATGATTAACGGCCAAAAGCGCCACGTCCAATACTTGACATGTCACATTTAGGGGATGGTGCGCCGTATTTTTTGGGCAGAAGTACTACTTCCTCAAGTGCTTAATCCTTTAAGACCAAGGCTCATACACTCATATCTGAATCAAACAAGGGTATTAATGGATTGAGTTTCCAACTTTATCTAGATCCATGGCTCAATCAAACAATATACTAAACCCTAACTAAAAAAAGGAGTCTAAATGATCAAAACCTTGTGCATGACTTAAAGAGAGTTCTTTAATGCACTCAAATGATGCAAAAATGTCCAAAAACTATCCAAGGACAATCATAATGTTCTGGAGTTCTCCAAACTTCAAGAACATAAATAAAATGAACACTAAAAGGCCAAAACTCATCCAATTCGTGGATCTAAGCATGACTAACATAAAGCAAAAAACTTAAGACTTATAAAGCTTGCAGTTGGTTTAAAAGGTGGAATCTTCTACTACAACGAGCTTCACAATACACCAAATGCTTCAATCCTCACCACGAATCACACAAAAAAAGCTCAAGAACACAAGGAGAGAGAGGGAGAGAGAGAGAGAGAGGGAGAAAGAGTGAGTGGGGGGGGGGGGGGGGGAGGATATGGTTTCTTTTATGGGGGTGGACGTTGAGGGGAGTGACAAACCCTAAAACCTAGAGCCATTAAATAGGGTCTAAAACTTGAGACCTAGGGTTTTGAGCTGCTGCAACAACGAACCACACTTTTTCATAGACGCACACACATTTTCCCACTTGGATAATGCACCACACTATTTCATAAGACGTACCGCTCTTTTCAATTTCAGTCCAACACCATTTTATTATTTCCATAAAATTGTATATTAATAAAGAAAACAGACGTTACATCTTACTTCTTAATGTGACCAAATTACCCTCTCCGAAAGTGAAGTATCCTGATGTAGTTTTCCCATCTGTTATGTTCTAGTTCTGGACTAATCTACATTCATATGATCTTCACTTGGTATATGCATAAAACTCATTTAATATGTAAATCTTGAAAAAGAAAAATTAAGTTTAAGGGCTTACGTTAAAAAACGAAGCACGGATAGAATTCTATAAGCTGTTATAAATAGTATATATGTTGTTTGAAATGAATTAGATAGATTTACACGAAGCTTACGTGAAAAATAACAATATTTGGAAATTTCAAAAAATCTCTAAGTAGCCTATTGTGAAGCTTTATAACCTGAGATTTGGGGACTATATTCAATTGTTTTCTAAATAAATTTTGTGGTCGACATAATAAGAAATATGTATATAAAAGAATCGACTTAATCTATGTTCATATGAAAATTTTATGAACATTTAAAGTTAGAAAAAGTTTATGTGAACTCATAAAAAATAAGAAAAAATGTCAAAAGTATGATAAAAATGAATTAGTATGAGATACCTACTTAAGTTAATATAAATCGCAGCTCATGAAGATTTAACTGCGATTTTAATGATTATTTGAGTTATTTTTTAAAAAAAATTGGGTATTTTTTTTTACAAGCAGTTAAGAATTTTGGTTAAATTTATCTTGTTTTCATCAAACAATAATGACGTGCGAGATGAATTTTTCATACCTAGCAACCAATATAACTAAAAGACTAATTAAAAAAAACTATAAACTTGTTGAAATGATAATTTTATTAGTTTTTTTTTCAAACAATTTATATACTATTTATAATTTATGAAAAGTAATAATTTAAAAATGTATATAATAATAACTCTAAACATGAGATAATTAATGCAATAAGAAAAAACATGTTCTAAAAAATAGTATTTTTTTTACTGATAGGGTATTAATAGGAAAAATGAGACAGTAAAAATGTTAAAGGTCCCCTTACCAGGATATATATAAGAACTACCTTTAGGGTAAAATCTAAAATTGGTAGCCTTACCAGGAGATATAAAAGGTACCCCGTTGGTTCATAATGTCTTCGCGAATCTCGATCGGCCTCATCATCGCCGGATTCTAGTCCATGTTGCAGCAGTCCTCTTGAGGTTAGCGATTTTAGGTTTTAGCTACTGATTTGTTTTAAATTCTTCGTGTTATCATGTGACTTCATTTGATTATGTGTTTTATGTGTAAATTTAGATAATTTGCGCGTCAATTTCGTTCCCCGTTTCGTTTTTCTGTTCTTATTTGCTTCTCCTGACCGCTAGAAATCGTTTAAATTTTTGGTTGGTTGAGATTTGAGATATAAAAAGTAGGTGTAACTTTCTGAACTGCTGCAATGATCTGAATGACGGACGAGGTGTGTGCGTTAAAGTGTGAGAGAAGGTAGGTTTCAGATGAAAGATCTAAACAGTTATTTGCAGTTTTAGCATATGGAATATATGATCATCTGAATGCATATCCTTGGTAAGTCTTTTGGCATTATGTCCTACAAGTCGGAACATATTAGGAAATTAACGTCAAAATTTGGGGGTAATCAATTGATTTGCTTCCAAGTTCCAAGTTTTAAGCATGAGATGGACGTATGTGCATCTAGACTTTAGTGGCCTCCACTCTTCCGATAAGCAGCTAGTCAACTTGAAGTCAACCCTTTCGATCATCATTTGAGTGTATTAACGGAACAATGAGATTAGTCAATTAGAAATATAATCGTATCAAAAGTTCAATATACGTGCGTCATTATGCTTCTAACAATCAGAAATTAATTGCAAACTGCATATGCATCTGCTTAGTCATCATTTAGAAATTGGAATTCTGTGTATGTTTTTGTTTTTCTTTTGCTTCAGTATATACTGATATATTTCAATGAATCTTCATTGTTGCAGGTTGTCTTTCTTTATGTCTTGTTGTTTTATGCTGATGACATTCTTTCTTAGTGAATAGTTTTGTGGCCCCTTAAAGTTCATAAATAAACTGCGATCTTTTATCTGGAAGACAATGTCATCAGAAAATAATATCGTTCAAAAGAACGAAACCAATTCACCATTGTTGACCTCAAAAGAGAAAGCCCAAAAGTCTATTAAGCACAGACGTAAACTTATGAAGAAGTTCTCAAACGAAAAATCTGCACCTGTTGAATCCAGCTCACCGTTGTCAATAAAAAAGAAAACCCCAAATTCTTTGAAGGCTAAAAGCAAAATTGTGAAGAAATCCTCTGATAAAAACTCTAAACTTGGTGAATCTAGCTCACCCTTGCTACCCTCGAAAGAGAAAACTATAACTTCAGAAAAGAATAAAGGTAAATTTGTGAATAAAGCCTCTGATGAGAAGCCTATAGCTTCTAGTTCAAAGGAAGCACAGAACTCTGAAAATGTTGAAAAGATTTCTGATAAAGAATCTAAACCAGTAGTAAAAAATACCAAGGAAACTCAAAACTCCCAAAACCCTAAACCTGAAGGTGCAAAAAAGGGGTTCCATCATGAGAGAAAGAAAGACATGAAAAAACTTGGAGGATTTATCTTTATGTGCAATGGAAAAACAAAAGGAGATTGTTATCGATACCGTGTAATGGGTGTTCAAGCACACAAGAAAGAGTTAGTGATGGGGATCAAACCTGGTATGAAGCTGTTTCTCTTTGATTTTGATGTGAAGCTTTTATATGGTATATACACTGCATCTTCACCTGGTGCCATGAAACTTGAACCAGCTGCTTTTGGTGGGGCCTTTCCTCTTCAGGTTCTTTTTCACTTTTACTATCTAAAAAAAAAACTTACCCACTTCATTTTTATTTTACTGATGAAATTTTAACTGGTCCAGGTTCGTTTTGAGGTTTATAAAGACTGTCTTCCACTACCTGAGAGTGTTTTTAAGAAGGCTATTAAGGAGAGTTATGATGAAAGAACTCGCAAGTTCAAGACTGAGTTAACCATGGATCAAGTGAGTCTCTTTTTCATTTTATTTCCTCTGTTATATGTTTTTTTTTAAAGTAAGAAAAACAATTTCATTCCATCATGCGAAAAAAAAAAAAAAAAAAAAAAAAAACTTTGACACCAAACAGTAGTAGGTTAGGTTAAATAGCAGTATGGATTCCATTTTGAAAGCATGATCAAATTTGGTGGGGTTTGTTAGGTAAAGAGACTTATAAACTTATTCAAGCCAGCTCCATTGTTACATTCAAATCCACAAAAACCTCCTCTTGTCATCATGCAAGAAAGAATGTCTCCACTTTTATTGACCGAACAAGAGTATAGAAGTTACGGTCTTAGAGGCGAAAGGCACCACCACCACCACCACAACCACAACCACAACCACAACCACCACAACTTAACCACTGCTCCTCCGCCTGATCCTTATAGACCCGGGCCCGGTCGAGAAAGAGAAAGAGAAGCTGCCCGAGATGATCATCCGGTCATCCTTGAACAAGAAAGCATGCAGTTCCTAAACCCAAATATGGTGACCGAACATGATTATCGGGGTTATGGAGTTATGTATGATCCATATAGTAATAGAACCACCGGGCAAGAAAGAGAAGATGATTCGGGCAGGAGGATCATACCCGGGCAACAATATAGTAGAAGTTATGGAGCTGGAGGCGATCAGGATAATACACTTTTTCTAAGCGAAAAGGACTATAGAACATACGGGCTTAAACGTCAACATGAGACTCCAAAGCCAAAAATAGATACAATTTCCAATCTTGCCCCTGCTTTGTATCAGTCTGAACCATATTTGTATGAACCAACCTCTAGTTTGGTGGAACGTTATCTCCCTCTGCCACCTCATCCTTCCAGCTCTTACCAGTATGATAACATCGGTGTGGAAAACAGCGAGGGGCGATTTCGTCAGGAAACAATTTTATCTGATAGAATTGAAAGGTTTTATTCGGTAAATGAGCAGCAACAAAACATTGGTCAGGGTGAATACAGCAGATCTGCTGGAGCTGTTTCTTCTCGATATGCGTTTGCAGGCCCTTCTCTAGTACACCGTTGATTGCAAAGAAAGGTTTCTTCTTTTGGTTATCTTTCAAATGCTGTCTACTGTCTGTATACATTTTACTTTACATTGCTCTACTTGATTTAAGGGAAAATTAGCCTATTTATGCTGTTTCAAGTAACTTGTTTGTTTATATTTATCTTTTAATTTCGGATCAAATGTTTAGCTCCGTAGGATGGAACTGAAGAGAAAAAACTAAAGGTCTTCGGACGACTTCCTTCTGTAGTACTTAATAATAGTTTTTATAAATGAAAAGGATGATCTTAATTTTGGCATGTTTGGTGAAAACTTTCATATTAAACATAATAATATAATATTTTTATGAGTTTTTGGTACTGTAGCACAAAGTTTGGTCAATTTACACATTTTAATCACTCAACTTATTTTTTTGCATAACAGATCATTAAAGTTAATTTTTACCTGTCAATTACATCATTATAAGACCAGATACCAGAAAAGCAGGTGACTTTAGTGATTTGACAGTTTAAACTAGATTTTTATACATTGTTTAAGGGCCACGTAATATCCATGGTGGAAAACTATTTAATTTATATATAAACATTTGATTTATATATAATTTGATCTTCTTTCACCAATACCGCCACAATCCACCTCCCACCACCAACATCCGGTGTAAATGTTGCCAAGATAGTTCCCGCCACAACAACCTCTCACCAATCACCACCACCATCAACCACGACACCCCCACCATCACAACGATCATCCACTCCACTCCTATCATCACCATGACAACCACCTTCCATCTCCTTCTACCACCGGACTGTAAAAACATCAAGAAAAGAGGATAGATACATTATGGGTACAAACTCACGAGACACTCCTTTGTTCTTAACTTCCATGTACCCGTTCCAAACTCACATCTACATATCACCACCCAGAAATTAATGAACAAAAGAACCAAAAACCATAAAAGTTAATAGTAATCTGAGTTGAAGAAGACTATTCATCACAAACCCAGAAGTTCAAACCCTATATTTGGTGTTCTGATAAACCCAAAAGAACAAAAGAACACAATTCTAGGAAGTAAGTGAGAAAAACTTGATTCCTTTAGGTGGATTTGCTTCACACTTCTGTCGATTTCATTGAAATATATAATTAGGGCTTGTATGTCCAAGAGAAAAACGTCGCAAATATCAAGCATTTTTTATAGGGTTTCACGAGAAACATCCCCTGTGATTCCAACTGCCATACCGAAATTGAAATTTGCTTCACCCGGTAAATTCAATGGAGAAATAGGGTTTTATGATTGGAAGCTATAAGCAAAATCAGAACCCATTTTTGATACGAAATCGGAGGTGATGTGAGGCCTTAAAGGACGACAGAGATGAAGAGACAACACCATCCAGGGTCTCGGCGTGTACTACCTCGTCTTTGATGAGAACATCTATAATAACCGATGATCAGAACTTAGGTTCTCAATTTCCACCCTAGAAAACTACAGTTGTGGCTCAGATATTGTTCGACGATTGTAAGGGGTTTGTTTCGTGAGTGCGTGTTTGGAGTAAGGCGCAGTTCAGAGTTTCCATGACTAGGATTTCTCTAGGAGGGTATATCACGACCTTCAATGGAAGCCATGATTTTTAAGGTTCATAAGAACGGGATGAGAAGGAGGTGGAAGCCATGGTTTTTTAGGTTTCATTAGAATATGAGAATGAGGTGCGAAGAAGAAGAGCCACAGGTGGGTGAAAGAGGATGAACAATCTAGGACTTTTTTGCTTTTTTAGTTTTAAAGAAAGTAAAAGGAATTAAAATATCAATATCTATATGAGGTGGACTACTTATTGTCATATCACTATGCCAGCTAAGTCAGGTTAACTTGGTAACCGGCTAATTTTAGGTTCCATCACCTAATTAACAGGTGAAATGCAACGTAAATGATCTATTGTGTACAAAAAATACTTGAGTGATTAAATGTGTAAACTGACCAAACTTTGTTGTGCTACAGTGCCAAAAACCCTATTTTTATTTTTGGCATGTTTGGGATCAAATGAGGTAGGTGCAAATGGGACCGGGGCCCTTTTCAAATGGGCAACGACTTGAATATGGATTAAATGGTGGTCTTTTCAGTGTTTGTTAGAAAACAAATTTGACAAATGACATTCCATAAACGGCTTGGTAAATGGTAACAAGTAAATATTAAGTCTCGGTTGATATGGGTTAACTTAAGCATATGAGTTATTATGAAAATAATATCATTGGTAGAATTTTTGAAATAAGATGAGTTATCATTTATCAAATCACTTTAGACGCCATTTTTTAGAAGCTAATCTAAGGGCTCTCAAGCTAAATTAGGGTTTTGGTAGGTTCAAACTTCAAACGACAGATAATGATGGGATAACTGATTATTGAAATTAGTAGTTGAAGCACTCGAAATTAGATTATAGTAAATTGCCATTATTAATAGCGAAATGAAAGTATGTTGCTATTATGAGTAAAAACCAAAGTATTTTGCTCATATTGGTAAAAATGACTTTAGGAATGCTATTATTTCCTGCAATATACTCTTTGTATTTCTATTTGGATTGTATAACTGCTGTTGGTTTGTGTAGTTGTGATTTTGTTACGTATTTTGTGTGTATTAGGGTTCAACTGAACACCTTTGGTTGTTAAATGCACAACACCAAAAAGGAAAGAAAAGCTAGAAAAGTTCAGAAAGTTCAATCCTTAGTAAATATTGATGTAGAGACCATTAAATGATATGGTTATATTAGATATTTTATCTTTTAATATGTTTCAAAATAACTACAATTTTATATATCAACTTAATACAACAGTTGTTAGATTCTAATAGATAATCTCAACCTCATCATTATTATCAATATATGTTTGCCAAACTTTTAACTATATAAAATTATTTTGGACAACGGCAAGATGTTTGTATAGTATTAATATAGTATAATCAAGATAGTAGTTTATTATGAGCCTCTATACTAACAAAATAATTGCAAGTGGCCCAAACATGTCTTAAGTTTTGACTAATATACAACTCAACTGCTACCCTTGACAATGTATGATAAAATTTGTATATATATGAACCCATGAAGTTCTTGGAAAATGTTTTGTCCACTCACCTGACAATTTATCCAGAAAATACCATAAAATGGCCATCACTAATATCTTATTTTCACTTAACTTTTAATTGTATCCGATTGACCATCGATATGTTTTTGGTTTGATTAGACCATCGACTTCATCTTTTACCAATGATTACTTGTTCCCTGTCTACATGGAATCTGCGTCACATGTTATATCCATGTAATAAATGGTATAATAAAACCAAAAAAAAAAAAAATTGTTGCCATCTTGATAAAATTAGAAGCTTAGTGACTTAAAGTGCAAAATGATGTTATTGGTTGCCATTTTTCATATAGACAAACAATCGGCCATGAAAAGATTACCTCTTTATCATCAAGAAATTTTTACCGGTTTGAAACTAATATAATATTAAACATGTTATTGGTTGCCATTTTTCATATAGACAAACAATCGGCCATGAAAAGATTACCTCCTTATCATCAAGAAATTTTTATCGGTTTGAAAGTAATATAATATTAAACCTACCAAACATATGTGTACACATATATTATATATATACACAACATACAAACTTACAATTTTTAGATTATCATGAAAAACTTTTACTCATTTGAATAAACTCTGGTAGTATGGCTATTGAACTTAGTGACGGATAGTTAAAAGAAATTAAGGACTTTGGACCTATACAAATTTCATATTAAACGATGTATCGATATTGTGGGTATTGAAGTTCGTGTTATTCAAGAAGACATATCTACGAATGCGTGTAAGCTTTTATGTCATATATGTGTTTAAGAATGCCCCCTTTTCATCCTAGTTCTCCCTTCACAAACCTCAAAAGTTTGTCTATGTTTACAAAGTTTTCGGTGCCAAGTGCTAACAGTGTCTTAAGTTGCTTAGGTGTTGTTTGTTTTTACGAAGCGAAAACATCTGAAATCTATGGACCACATCTATAACCATCTGCAGCAGAAAAGGTGGACCAAACGGCTGCAATCTGTAATAAGAAGTCTGTTTGTTTTTTAACGTCTACATGCTGCTGCAATAAACTGATTTTACAAACTTAAAATAGTTTTTCAACTTCAAAGTTTTAATAGTTTTAGTCTTCCAAAATTGAAATAAAATTCATACAACCAAATTAGTCTTACAATAATAACTTTAGTTTTATAATAACAATTTCATTAAAAATAATTCATTCCATATTTTGCATCAGTTGCTCGGCAATTTCACCCAGTAACTGACTCATATATTCATGGTTCGCTGCAGTACTATGTGTTGGAACCTCGTCTTCATCATCGTCAACGGTCACATTGTTATTTCGAAACGAAACATTTGACTCTTCGTATCGTGCAAAATACACATAACTCAATCCCTCTTTTCTTATAAAACTTTGAAATGAGAAACATACAATGATAATGTTTGTAAGATCCCGAGATTTTTGCAGGTATTTCCGAACCCTCCTTTATCATTTCCTTGTCATTTATAGTCCTTGGGGTTGGAAGTGTAAAGTCAGGGTAAGTTTAAGGGCCAAAGTTGCAACCTTGGGCCAAGAAGGAGTACGTTGCACGTACATAAGAGTACACTAAGCGTACTAAGGTCCACCTTAGTATGTTGGGCGTAAACTTGTGTATGTTGGGCGTACTAATGTCAAGATGAAACCCTAATATTTAAGGTTTGGAGACTATATAACCAACATTATGAGCACCTAACCTTCCCTTACCCCATCCTCCACTGCTTAGAATCGTTTTCCCTAACCTAGCCATCTTGTTAAGTGTTTGAGCTTATTGAGTGTTTCTTAAGTGTTTTAAAAAGAAGGTGTTGCATCAAGGAGTTGAAGAAGAAGATCAAGCTTGTAGATCTGAATTTGGGTTGTGCCCTAGAAGCTCCAAAAGGTAAAAAGCTTCAAACTTTATGCATATATGTATAGATCTTGCCATTTTTGCTTTAAAGAACCATTTCTTGTCTCAAAAAGTTCCAAGATGGTGCATGGTGTGTT